ATAAGTGTAATCAATGTACCCCCACTAGTGTCAAGAAGGTTCAATGAGACACTTTGATCTGGGTTATAAGTGTCATCAACATACCTCCCACTAGTGTCAAGAAGGTTCAATGAGACACTTTGATCTGGGTTAGAAGTGTCATCAACGTACCCCACTAGTGTCAAGGTTTGTGTAATGCACTATGCTAAGCCCCATTCTCTAATTTTTACATGAATATTTCACAGACAACGAGGGAAACCCATTGGATATGCCATCCGACACATTACTATTTGGATCTTTCCAAATCAAATACAATGCTGAAAGACAACTTTTTATTATTCATGTTATTAACTGGACTGAATACTTCAGTCTAGAAGTTTTATTCTTTACATTAAATGACATTAAAACAAAACCTTGTCAAGTTAAAGCTGAGCTTATGGATACTGCAGTCTTCAGATAAATCACATGTCTCTATTGGTCTTGTTTTAAGTCAACATGATTAATACTTCCAATCCATCCTTGCTTATTGAAACACTAAGCTATCCATCCTTGTTCATTAAAACACTGTTATCCATCCTTGTTCATTAAAACACTGTTATCCATCCTTGTTCATTGAAACACTGTTATCCATCCTTGTTCATTGAAACCCTGTTATCCATCCTTGTTCACTGAAACACAATGTTATCCATCCTTGTTCACTGAAACACTGTTATCTATCCTTGTTCATTAAAACCCTGTTATCTATCCTTGTTCACTGAAACACGATGCTATACATCCTTGTTCACTGAAACACTATGTTATCCATCCTTGTTCACTGAAACACTATGTTATCCATCCTTGTTCACTGAAACACAGTGCTATACATCCTTGTTCACTGAAACACTATGTTATCCATCCTTGTTCACTGAAACATGATGCTATACATCCTTGTTCACTGAAACACGATGCTATACATCCTTGTTCACTGAAACACTGTGTTATCCATCCTTTTCCACTGAAATGCTGTGATATTTATTTGTTCATTGAAACACTTTGGTATTGATCTATGCTAATTTAATGCAACATTGATGGTTTATAGAGTTATTATTTTTGTTTCACATGAGCATAAATTGTCATTTTAAAATGTACCAATTCCATTTCCTGTTGTATTTGTGTGAGATAATTCAAATGTCATATATGTACTGAACTCTAAATGACTTTTTACAGGAAAGTTGTAGTAATCTTAAGATCTTGTATAATAATTACTTTTCCCCTAGATTTAGCTGTTGGAGCACCGTACGAAGGAACAGGAGTAGTGTACATCTACCTCGGATCAAAGACAGGATTGAACAAAGAGCCATCTCAGGTGAATTACTTAGAATGGGAAGGTTTTCATGGTGAAAATTAATGTTTCTCAACAAAGTTACTTCTTTCAAACGTGACAGTGTAATTGGATTCTGATACACCCTTGAGATCCAACAAAACTAAACCCTTACAATGACTAAGGACAGCCACTGAGTTTTGAATGTGCACCACTTTATTAAGGAATTTAATTCAGTAATTGGGCAAATCAAAACCTTTGGTTATTAGGTAATAGTTTTTTTTTTAATTGATGAGTAATATTTATTTTTTTCTCCAGTAGATTCAAGAAGCAGAAGATAAGTTTAAGAACAAAGAAAGTGTACTATTTTTTGTATTTCAATTTCTTGACATTTCTTCCTTTTTTTATGTGTGCACAACTAAAAGTAGAAGTAATCAATTCAAAAGCTTTTACATCCATCAGGAAATGGTGAACATCAAATTAAGTTTTTCTGAATCTGTAAGATTGATAATGAATTGAATTAATGGTGTAAAAAAAAAGACAGGATAATCTTATAAAATTTACATTTTAATATAGTGAATATATTCCACAGCATTTCCTTTTTTGAAATTTAGTGTTCAGTATTGGTGTTTAATTGACTCTACATTTTATATTTCTGTTTAGATAATTCAAGCTTCAGACTTTCCTAAGCAAGTGTTGTCACGTACCAACCTTGCAACGTTTGGTTACTCTATCTCAGGAACCTTAGATCTTGATGGGAATGGCTACCCAGATTTGTTGATTGGAAACTATGAGAGTGACACAGTGACTTTGTTATGGTAACTATGAGAGTGACACAGTGACTTTGTTATGGTAACTACAAGAGTGACACAGTGACTTTGTTATGGTAACTACGAGAGTGACACAGTGACTTTGTTATGGTAACTATGAGACTGACACAGTGACTTTGTTATGGTAATTACGAGACTGACACAGTGACTTTGTTATGGTAACTATGAGAGTGACACAGTGACTTTGTTATGGTAACTATGAGAGTGACACAGTGACTTTGTTGTGGTAACTATGAGAGTGACACAGTGATTTTGTTATGGTAACTACAAGAGTGACACAGTAACTACTAGACTGACACAGTGACTTTGTTATGGTAACTTTGAAAGGGAAGGGCATAGCTGTTCTGTTTTTATAAAGAATTAAAATGCTAGAATTTTCTAATGTTTTAATTTTTTATTTGTAAACAAAATACAGTTAATTCTCAAGTTATTGTTTAAAAAATAAAGTTTAGATCCACTGACAGGAAACAAGAAGTTATGTGGATATAGGTTTCACCATTTTCATGTTTCCTCTTCCTTCCAAGTTTTGTTTGTGAAAGAAACACCTACGTTGCTTGTTTTGTAGCAGAAGTTCCAAGTTGTTTCATGATGTAAGGTACCAGAAAAGGGTTAAAGTAATCTCCAGAGGTGATAAAGTCTTTGGATTAGTAAATCTTCTTTCAACATAACTTCTTGTTTTATATATTATTTTGGCTGATTTCTACATGATTTGATAAAATTTCTATTGTATAGAAAAAAAACAGCACTATTTGTTTTACTTCTTTTAACATTCTTTTTATCTTCCACAATCTTTTACCATTTCACCAATATAAATTTTTTCACAGAATTAACATAATACTGGGATAGACACCCTGTTCTTTATCTTGAGATTCAGGCTTGTTCACTGGATAGACACCCTGTTCTTTATCTTGAGATTCAGGCTTGTTCACTGGATAGACACCCTGTTCTTTATCTTGAGATTCAAGCTTGTTCACTG